TTATACATCCTGTACAAACAAACATACTCCTTAAAACAAGTCAACCGTTGGGGTTTACGTTTAAAAAAAATTTAAACTAAACAATGATTTAGAACAATCATGTGACAAAAATTCAAATAGCTCATGCAAATAAAAATACATTCAACATTTTATCAGCAACATTTGTCCTTTTAATAAAAAAAAACCCACGAATAAGGAATCGAAGAACAAATAAAAACTAAACATATGCCTTTAAGTTCAGTCTTTGATAAATGATTTTTAGTCTGTAAACAACACTTAGAAATTGAGTTCAATACTCTAAGTATTATATAATTTAGCTTTATATAATCAGGTATATTTATCATATTGGAATATTGCATGTCTTCTATGATTGATGATTACTTGTTCTTTTAAATTGTAAATAAGCAGAAAATGATTATAGATTGGATTTTCCAACATGCAATATTTACATTGATATACAAACACCGTAGTTACACCTTATTCTATAAGAATATTATGAGTTCGAAATCTCCTTTCGTACCTGGTTGTATTTTACCCTCTTAGGCTCTAGATGTACATTTTGTTTGTGTAATTTAGTATCGTTGTGATACCCCATATCTCCCTTAATTCGACATTTATAGAGATAAGCATGCAATGAAGAAACAAAAGTATTTGTCAAATCAACAAATGGTATATCTTTTCTTGTTCAATTGTGTTTTTGGTATTGCTCGTTGACCAATACGACGTGTCTCAATTCACAAGAAACTAGGTTTCGCGGTCTTAGACCGTTAGATACCAGACTAATCGTCTGTTCTGTTAATTAAACGATTGTGTCCTATTCCCTGTTGTTACATTTGGTCGAGTCTGGATCAGCATGGCGGGTGACTATTACCCTGCTCCGTTTGTAGTTCAGGCAATTCCCCCAGTCTTCTTGAGTGCTACATTTATGTCGATAATATGAATATCATTTTTAAATATATTTTTGAGACATAGTTATGACGAATTGTTTCTGGAAATGGAAATCCAAACTTGTTGAAAGAATTAGCTGCATGGCATCACAACAATAGTTGAATCTTTGTTCTTCTACCGACCGCGATACAGGAGACTTTTTATTATAGCTTTCTCCCCATGTGTGTGTCTGACAGGAATCTGGTTTCGGACATCCGGTCGTCCTTGTGGAATTTATTAACCACGTATTTAGACCATTTGGGATTTCGAGCTGTTCATACATTGTTGGTGTTTTCCATTATTCAACATGATGGTAAATCGACCTGTAAATGTTTACTTTAGTTATTGTATTGAGTTGCTTCCTCGTTAGTATTTATTTGGTCATATTTCGTGACTCGTTTAATTCCCATTTGAGTATAAAATATTTGGAAAGTAATTACGTTAACTTATAAACATATACATCACAAATGCAGCGACCTATAAAGGAAACAGCACAGTAGTTTTCAATGTTGTATGTTAACTCTTAATTCATTACGTTAGGGCAGCCAAAACATTTTATACATGTATAAACAGTTTCATGACGTTACAATAAGAATTCCTACACATGCGAAATAGTTTTGTAAGTGTTTATTACTTTTACTATAATACATGTAAGACATTGTAAACATATTTGTACAACTTCCATAATTTCTCATAATATTGTGTTTTCCCATAAGACATTGATCGTTACAGACTGCATACTATCATCTCTCAAGTACAGCTTTCTCTCATCAATAACTCTTACGATCGCTAATTTATAACGTTTGAAAACAAACATACTTTTGAATGGTGTAACTGGTGTCAGTATTAACATGATATTTAGTTTGATGTTAACTATATCTTATAGTTTATAGGTCTTACATCACGCAGATAACGTTTTACTGGCAATGCTTGTGTTTTTACGTTATCAGAGAGTTTTTTCATGGATTTATTTTCATCTACAAATTGGACATCAAATAGCAAAGAAAATAAATTTGTCAATAGTAAACAGCATTATCTTGAAACTTTTCTTTCTGCTGTATAGATGGTGTCTTCTCACTCATTTTAGTGTGACTTTGTTGAACAAATCTATCCAATCGAACGTGAAATAAAGGATACAACAGATACAGTAAATATAAATAAGAAGATGTGGTATGAGTGCCAATGAGGCAACTATCCATCAAAGTCACAATGTGAAAAAAGTAAACAATTATAGGTCAAAATACGGCTTCAACACGGAGACTTGTCTCACACCGAACAGCAAGCTATAAAGGGCCCCCAAAAGACTAGTGTAAAACAATTCAAACAGGAAAACCAACGGTATAATCTATATAAAAAACCAGAAACGAGAAACACTTATGAACCACACCAAAAAACGACAACCACTGAACAACAGGGTCCTGACTTAGGACAGGTGCATAAAAATGCAGCGGGTTTAAACATTTTAACAGGCGCCAACCTTCACCCTAACCTGAAACAGTGGTTTAACATTACAACATAAAAAGACACACAATAAGAAATTAATTGAAATGGCTTAACTCGATCAAAAAGACAATACACAAAAACAAGTAAATATACACTGAACGAATAAGTTTGATCTATGACACAATATAAATAAAAAAGATGTTTCAATGTCAAAAAGACAACTTTAACCTAGGACAAAAAGTGTGCTTTATATATATTGACTAACATGGAGACAATGAGGGTAGGTGGAGGACTAAACTTTACGTCAAAAGAGATGATTTCAGAATTTCTATTTCTATTAGAAACAAAACAGCAGCACCTGAATATGTCGTACATATCTGCAAGCTGATACGTTTTTTTCAGAGCTTGCTTTTCCTATTAAAATTTCTTTGATAGAATGGTTGCTGCTTTAAATGAAGATATTGAACCAAGGGTTCCTAATGGTAAACTTGGAGTCATTCCTTCAAAAGTTTTGCAGACACCATCATGATTTGGTTGACATTTATAGAACATCTGTGTAACAGATAGCCGTGGAAATGTTTCAAGTGTCGCAGCCACAATCCCTTCCTCTTTTTCTCGATGTGACATCATCGAATGAGACTTATTACCGAATTTGTATTTGTATTTGAGCAGTTGCATAGCAGGATCCGCTTTATATTCTTCCGGAGCACCTGCGGTCATCCTGTTTTTTGGGGCTTCGTGTTGCTCAGGTTTCTGTATAGTGTTTTGTAGACTTATTTGTCTTTTTTTCCATGGTTTTGTCATTTGTTCGTAGACTTTAAATGTTTTATTGTCTTGTATCAGCTGCCTCTTTTAAAATCTTACATAAGAAGGCAAGTTTGGCCAATCATGTGTTTGTTTTAGTTTTGTGTCTTCTTGCTGGTATGTTTTGATGGTCTGAGATCAAACACCAACACATTAAAAGAATAAATCAGAAAATTAGGAAATAAGAATTTTTAGATGGACAATTTAAACTTTATCTAGTTTTTCCTGTTGTAGCTAGGTAACAGGCAATTAGAATAAGGATACTATTATTCACATAGTTCAAAAGTAGTTTCCCAAACTCTGGAAAAAAATATCTAAAATAGGTAAAAGGTATGGGTATAAAAAATACCTCGCCTCCATCATTTCGCGGATTAATACACATTTAGACGGTAGTAAAATAGCTTGTAAGTCATCGAAAATGGGAAAAAAATTGGTAATGTAATTTTTTAATTTTTGTTTGTTTGAATAAAATGGCTGGAAAAAGTTGGCATACAATCAAACTAACATATATACAGACAAAAGTAATAAAAAAAACCTGGGATTTAAGTGGTTAACAATTATTTTTCGTCATATTTCTTTTTTTCTTCCGACTATTTCTTTTAGGATTAGTCATTGAAATTGTTTATAAAGTTTCAATGAAACATTATTTAACCTTTCAGAATTTTTCTAATTTAATAACGAGACAAGAAATGAACCTAATCATATACATCCGAGCAATATCAATTATTGTAATCAATACAACGGAAACTGTAGATGATGCATTGCTTCCATCCGGAAATAAGAAATTTTATCTATTTTAAAATCAATCATTTTCAAAATATGGAAGGAAATTCAAATGAAGCCAAAACAATCAATATAAACATATATAAAAAATGACAGGATCGTAGATTATTAATGAAATAGAAACAAACATACTGTTCTGATTCACAAAAATACCAATGTAATTTATGATGCATCAATGGCTAGCAAGAAAGCCAAATTCCCAATATAATGTGAATGTTCCAACATAGAATCAATGCTAAATAACGTAAATGTCGACAAATAAAAATTCAACGTAGTATTATATACGTTAAGAAGATATAACCGTCTGATGCTGTCTCCAGAATATTTGAAGTTTATTCCCAAACACAAATGTCGTTCGGGATGAAATTCAGTGTTATCATGTCTTCTTATTGCACCGGATCTGACTCCATTAGAGTCAACGAGTTTTCAATTTCATGTTTGTGTCTTTGTATCTGGATTTATGAGCCTCTGGCCTTTGTTAGTCTTGTATGTTTTTTTAATTCTAGTTCATTTATATGTTTTGGAGTTTAGTATGACGTCCATTTCCACTGAGCTAGTGCACATTTTTATTTAGGGGCCAGCTGAGGACCACCTCCGGGTGCGGGATTTTCTCGCTGCGTTGAAGACCCATTGGTGGCCTTCGACTGTTATCTGCTCTTTGGCCGGGTTGTTGTCTCTTTGACATATTCCCCATTTCCATTCTCAATTTTGTGATCTGTCTGTCTTCATATTGCACAAACAAAAAAGAAAAAAATGTTAGAGACACCCATTAAAACATTAATAAACTCAACAAACAATAGAATGGAAAAGAAAGCAGGAAAACAACAACAAACGTACAAAAACTAAATGAAACCCAATAAAACCCAAATAAGAAAGGGAAAAATTTGTCTAGAAACCGCGAAAATTCAAAATAATCAAGGTAAGATGTAAACCTTAGGCTTATGTCTGTGAAAATATTGTCACTTGAATTTAAATTTTATATCACACAATATACTATCATTTTCATCATATTGGTAACGTGTAGCGTGTTTTCTATATTTCAGTCCTGGTAATGATTGCAGGATTATTTATTTATCCACTTGGATTTGGATCATCGTTTATAAGACAGTACTGTGGATCAAAGTCCGTTATGTACCACGCCTACGATTGCTCTATAGGCTGGAGTTTTGTACTGGCTGTAACAGGGACGTGTCTTGCCATGTTTTGTCCAGTTCTATCTCGTTTTACAGACATGAAAGGGCGTGACATAATGCCCTAATCAGTATTTTCGGAAGTTATTAGAAAAATCTAAAGCATAAAACAAAAGACAAACCAAGCTGAATAATAACAAACCTTGAAAGTGGATGTAAGCTTTTCGAGAGGGTATAAATGTGTATGAAAAATTCAGAAGTCATTTATGAAATTAATTCCTAATACATTACTGCTGATGAGCTAAACAACTAGAGTTATTTAGCATATTTACGTCTAGTACAAATAGTAAAAATGACCTAGAATGGTAAAACCATCACAACCGTCTACAATAGTATAAGATATTTAGCTTTATAAAACTAGAACATGTAGAATAAGTAGTGAGTAGTGTACAAGCTTGATAGAAACTATCAATATTAGAATGATTTGTTGTATAATGATCTCCAAGGCTAAATAGGCCTTAATCGTGTCAAAGCAATAATAAATGGATCAGTTATCGTTGGTATTTGTCAAGTTGTTTGATTGTTTCGTTTTATTAATAAAATTTATTTATAAAATGCTGTTTGTAATCTATTTCACTGAAATATATATAAAGAAAATGAGATGTTTGTAAGCTTCAAAGTGACAGCACCGTAGCAACACCATTAAAAATAATAGTAGTATTTAGAGGTATTCACGCTCTATTCATCTATTCTTGAAAAAAGGAAAACACGAGGAGTAGAAAGTAAGTAACTTATCCCGATCAGAGCATGTGATGATCTCTTTCATATAACCTTTCGAGCACGAGCACATCTTGTAAGTCGCCAGATTAGCTCCCCAGCAGTTACGTGCTCATCTGGTAAAAAGTTAGGGTGTTTCTACTGTAAAAATAAAAGCATTACAAAATTCTGAGGACAAGGTGGGATCTAATAAAGGCAGACCAACACAACATGCACTCCGGAAATCAGATGAAAATCTGTAGAAATAATAAAAACAACTTGATTCTCACAAATTCCAGTAAAAATATCAAGATATTTGTAAGTGTAAGAATATTGTTAGGCATACATTTAACTAAATACGTTTTTTAATATAACTCCAGTCACTAGTCAAAAAGAAATATTTTTAAAATTCATCGTGTTATTTGTGATCCGAGCAAAAAAAAAAAACCCAAATAGTCCGAGTATAACTGTGGTAATGTTGCTGCAAAAAGAAAATAACTCTTTTGCTGCAAACATTCGGAAATAAGTTATATATATAATATATATACACAAAAAATGTTGTTGATTTTTTCCCCCATAACTTCTGTGGAGACAATTATTTCCTGCATATTCAGTACGAAACCAAATCAACAAAAAAATTAGAGCTATTTTCCTAATGCTTGTAGTTTAAAGGTTTGGTTGACTTGCTTGCTTTGTTTGTATAAATGTTTGCTCAAGCATTGTATAACTAAGATTGACATCTGAAATCAATAGATAAGCTTTTCTCTAATTCTTCGTCAATTTATCCCTTTCTGCACCCATTGTATAAAAAAAATTTAATCAACGTGTGGTTCGTTTGATCTCAGTTCTTCATTGGTTAAAATCCGATTATGACGTCGAATTTTCTTGCTTTCCTCTGAATTTCCTATTGTGACGGCATGAAAAAAGGCGACCATGTCTGATGACGTCACATAGAAAGAACACATCTTTTTGCAGATCATTCGAAAAGAAGGAATAACTTTGCCTGCATATTGTTAGAAAATCATTAGAGAAACAGATTCCACCACCAAATCTCGTGTAATACGATATTTATCCACTCTCGACAGTTAAATTTTAAATATTAAAAACGCTCGGCGAGCCTCGCGTTTTAAATTTGAAAATTTAACTGTCTCGAGTGGATAAATATCGTATCACACTCGATGCATTGGTAGAATCTATATGTATACTTAAATGCTATTGGATGTAAAGTATAATGCAGAGTATAATGTATACAAGCTGAAGCCCCACCTATCTATTGATTGCAGATGTCAATCTTTATTACAATGCTTGAACAAACATTTATACAAACAAAGCAAGCAAGCCAACCAAACCTTTTAACTACAAACATTTAGGAAAATAGCTCTAAAGAACAGTTATTGGACGGGAATTAAGGCCGGGGAAATTGGACTGCCACTAGAAAAAGACAAAACGGACTCCTCAAATAATTGTTGCAACTCTCCGTGGGATTCAATATCCCATAACCGGACACGGCTGTGTATATATACACCCAAACTACCAAACAGACGCTCCTCGTGAATGGTATTATTATCGCCCGGGAAAAGTCGAATTACAATATTTCTACACCACAACAACCCTTTTAAGTTAAAATTGCCTTATTCAAAACTGGAAATTAAGGAAATGAATTGGTTTTTAATCATCAGACAATAATATAACCTGCAGAAAAGCTCAACAATACACATTACTGATATATTGAATGTAAAGATTGATTTTTGAAGTATGATACTACTAGAGTAAAACAATATTTGTCATGAATCTGAAGGACAAGAAAACAATAAATATTCTGTCCAAGCAGTAGAGCATTAATTGCTGACCGTTTCTACGCGCATGATGTAAACATGACTATTATGCTTATGTACCATCTAAAATACGCAGCACACCCTATCGTCCTATATCATGCTTGTAAATCAACTATTTAATTTTTATCCGTTTTAGAATGTTTTTCTCTTGATAAGTATACAAGAAATACAAATATTGCATAATAATCGGAAATCTGGTAAATGGAAACGTCAGTCAGAATTATATAAGAAGACATATTTAGATTATTGTAAAATAAAAGTCAATACCATTTTTACTGTTTATTGAATAGGGATTGGTTATGTAACTAAATAGCTATAATACATTTGTTTAATGGGACGTTATAATTGTTTAAACAATTACATGATATTGATAGTATGATTTATCAAGATGATTATAGGCACTTGATACTACATTAACTATTTAAGATTTAGTCATAGTGTTTAGTTGTTGTGCAGTGTAGTGTTGCTTGGCTTTCCGTCGTGTTTCTTTTTGGCCGTTGTATTGTCTGTTATGCTTTGACTTGTGGCTTTTGGTCGCATTCGTGGTATCTTTCCCCCTCCACAATGAAAAAAAAACCAAACGTATTTAATCTTTTTTATTCATTGTTACTTTCTACTTTCTACGCTTCGTTTAGAAAAAGGTACTTTCCATAAGTTTAGTGGTACATGTTTAGATGTTTTGCTTGCATGGATTTTTCTATTTGTCTATTTGTCTTTTTCAATCTGGTAATGGTATTCAGACTAAGAAATCGGAATGATTGTTTTTTTTAAATTTTGTAAGGATATATATATATACTCTGCTAGGGTTTGTAAGTTTGTTTAGATCCTAACCCGATACTCGGCCTAGAGTTTCATCAGAACTTTGTAAGGATATATATACTCTGTTAGGGTTTGTAAGTTTGTTTAGATCCTAAACCGATACTCGGCCTAGAGTTTCATCAGACCTTTGTCAGGATATATAGACTCTGTTAGGGTTTGTAAGTTTGTTTAGATCGTAGGAACCGATACTCGGCCTAGAGTTTCATCAGACCTTTGTAAGGATATATAGACTGTGTTAGGGTTTGTAAGTTTGTTTAGATCCTAGGAACCGATACTCGGCCTAGATAGACTCTGAATAGGGTTAATTAGTTTGTTTAGATCTTATACGGATTCTTGGTCTAGAGTCTCCTTTATTCATATTCAATCAATCATATGGAAGTTCCAAATTGTCAACATGTGAAAAAAAAAAAGAAACGAAGAAAGACAAATTAGTTTCTAATAAGACATAGAACGATGAGACAAATCATATTAAATAAGAATATAAATGTAAAAAAAAAACATATTTCCCTAACTACTAATACTATAACAACTTAGATCCAATCGCCTGTTTTCTTATAAACAATTTTCTTCGTCCTTAGGAATAATCTATATTTACAGGGAAATATCTGGCCATATCTCATATTATTAAATAGCTGTATAATATTTTATTGCAGTAATAACACTATGTCGTATTAATATAAAAGTCTTTTACGCGGGAAATCAATAAGTTTGATTGACGTATTTCTTCACTTTCCAATTTTTATATGACGATTTGTTATATGGGAAGACAAAACAAGATTAATATTAATCCCTGGAAACACAAAATATCCTAGAAATTCCAATTCATATTCCCGAAATCTAATTTCACGCTATAATATTTGTTACCAAATTCATCAGTGACAGTTTATTAGACAGAATACAAATGGCGATAACATCTTCAAGACGACGGCAACAAAAAACCCAGAAAATCAAAATGACGTGTTACATAATGTTTGTAATTTGTGGACTTTCGATAAGCGATAGAAACACTATTAAATGAAATTAAATGGTACCGCTTCATCGCTTCTTGTACCATGACATTCAAGATGTATCAGATCGCATTCAAGCGAATATTGTCGTTTCTAATAAAAAAAAAAACCAGGGTAATTTCTCACTTTAAAAGTCTAATACACTGTTAATAGGAAATCGATCAATTCATGTTTCTTAAAACGCAATCGTTTAAAACATACAAATTAAACATTACTGGTATTACATAAGATAACAAGTATATGATGTTCAATTGTCCAGTACGTTGAAAACTCAATACATCTTTGATTTTTACATTGTCCTCTAAAATCCGACTTCAAGAATGAGTAAAAGTAGAAATAAATAATCACAAACTATAAATCATTAGGAAAATGTCTAAGTTTGCCTCTCACAAATTAATAAAAAAAAAAGACTATGAGTAGACATTTACTAGTAGTAGTTATATCGCTATTTCGTCGGTTTGGACATCACTGAACTTGTTCATCAACATGTGGAGTAGATATAAAATTGAGAATGGAAAAGGGTAATATGTCAAAGAGACAACAACCCGACCAAAGACCAGACAACAGCCGAAGGCCACCAATGGGTCTTCAATGCAGCGAGAAAATCCCACACCCGGAGGTGGTCCTCAGCTGGCCCCTAAATAAAATTGTGTGCTAGTTCAGTGAAAATGGACGACACACTAAACTCCAAAACATATAAATGAACTAAAACTAAAAAACATACAAGACTAACAAAGGCCAGAGGCTCCTGACTTGGGACAGGCGCAAAAATTCGGCGGGGTTAAACATGTTTTGTGAGATCTCAACCCTCCCCCTATACCTCTAGTCAATGTACAAAAAAGAAACGCATAGCAATACGCACAGAAAAACTCAGTTTAAAAGAAGTCCGAGTCCGATGTCAGAATTTACCCTTACGGAAAAAAACCCATGACCAATCCCTTTTTTTGGTGGAGTATTTGTTCCTCAGTCTTTCGTATTCTACAGATACAAGAAGATGTGGTATGAGTGCCAATTAGACAACTCTCCATCCAAGTAGTAGGTTTTTCAACCTGTTTGTCATTTTATTATAGAGAACATTTCATTAAAAGTAATTTAAAATTTGAAGCATATTGTATTGTATAGTTTAGTAGTACTTGTCCAGAGTTGAATGGACATGTATTGTATAGTTTAGTAGTACTTGTCCAGAGTTAAATGGACA